TGGAGAAGGGATGGGTAAATTTGTCTTTGGAAAATTGGAAGGTTACGCGGTCTTTTCTACTAATCAACTCCATGGATACATGACAACTAACATTGAGCATAAAAAAACGTGTTTTGTTGGCGCGTAATATGCACCTTCTGGAAGAAAAATGTTATACTTCTGTCTGAGCACGACTTGCCCTTGTTAGAGACAGTGAATGACCAACTACACAGTGAATTAATTATTTTTTAATTAAACCGATTTCATGACATAATTAAAAAGAAATTATGTTATGTGCCCCGCGAAATCGGTTCGACCTTAATTTGTAAGGTTTATTGATTGAAAAATCAATGAAGCTGAAGATGTGTAAGAATCAAAACTAAGCGCCCTTTTATTGGGGGATTTGTTGCTAATCAAAGCTACAATGACTTGAGTTTATTATGATGTGCATTAAGCTATTCGTGGCATTTAAAAATTGCATTATGCATGGTGACCTAGTCGCCCTATCTAGTAGTAGCATATTAGCAATGCCATGTGCACAGCGGCAGACGTGCACTTTCCCTCAGCATTTTTCTTACCGACACATTGTCGATCGCAGAGAGCAACTAATGGAGTGTGATTTGCTTTTATTTTATGATAATACACCGACAGATGATTATAGATTCATGGTGCAATTTAATTTGATGTTATTTAGATCAGTAATTTCGACACAGAGAGATAGAGATGTTACTTCCACTAATTGGTCGACCCAACGACGTCGTGTTGGGGATTAAATGGCTACAAAATGCATAATTAATGGGGCACTAATCTATCGCCATTTGCAAGCACGTTGCCTTAAGTTATATATGCATAATGCATCATTTCGTCGGTGCTTCTAGTATTTATATCATAATTTTAAAAGTCGCTTTTAGTTTTAGTATTTTGCACACATGCATGTATTATGTATGATTATGTTTAGATATCTATATGTACATAAATTCTCCTATGCAGACATCTAGATATTATTATCGTGCGGTCGATATGCATTTTTTATTATCTCTCTCTATGTTTCTCCATGTTTACAATGACATCTGCATAATAATAATATATAGACATCCGAATGAGATACATATATATATATATATTTATATATACTTATATATTTGTGTAAAGAATGGTACTACGTACCATAAAAATCCCTAGTTTCCTTATCTTTGAAGGGAAGAAATAATGTATCAATCAGTTTCTTTCTTGGTTGAGGGTGATCACCCTACTAAATAATTGTCCTCGGGACGTCCTTGCATTGATTTAACACTAATTAAGAAAGGTCGTGTGGGTGCATTCTTTTAATTAAGAAAACCCACCCCAAAACCTTTCAAAGATATGAGGAAGATTTGGTATATTCTAAAAACATGACTCTAGATATATTAATTTGTACTAGTCTTCAATATGGTGGAAGAAGCCTAAACCTTGACTGGCTCAAAGTCCTTATGGGTTTTTAACCAAATTCACTTTTTCTGAATATAGAAAAGTCTTTTAGAAGGAAGTGATACAAAGAGTGTAACCCAAGTTAATCATAAAAGAATAAAAGGGTCCTCTTTCTTCTTCTTTTTTACTTCTTTTTTATTTATTTTAATTTTAATTTTTAAATTTTGGCAGAGTATTTTAGAAGGGATTGATGCAGAGAGAGATCAAGAGTCTTTTTTTTTTTTTCAGTTATAAAAAGAGAAAAAAGAAGAGAAAGCAGAAGAAACAAGCCATCATTGCCATGAGGCCCAAATGAGACATGCTTCGGCTGTGAAGTCACTTTTATTAACCTTTCTCTCCCTTTTTTTATAAAATTATTATTTTAATTAATCTCCACATTAATACATTGATTTGCTGGTACACTTTCCTAATTCAAGCACACTTGAGGCGCTATTTATTTTTTTTTTTTTTTTTTTTTTTTTTTTTTTTGATTTGACCAGAAAGCTCGAATGGCATTAGGTGGTGGAGATTTGAGGGTATCATTCTAAAGCAATACGATTAATAGCCTACCCCATCCGCTATGTTAGAAATGACAGCTGGTGATTACCCACTTTGCATAAAGTCCATGTTGTAATGCCACTTAGGCATTTACCATTATCTCACCATTTTGGGATTTTCAGTGTTAATTTATCGATATACGATACGAAACGTAATTCAATCATCAAATGTTAACATCAAACATCAAATATTTGAAACAATGTTAACATCAGTCGTTAAATGTTTGTAGCATACAAATTCTATGGTTGCGGACAAGTAATTCGTACCATTACCACCATGATTGGTGAAAGTGGCCCCAAATATTTCAACCCGCGTGGGCCTACACTAAAGCTATGTGTCAAAAATTAAAAGCACTAAAACTAATCATTCACTCTTTGTTCTACCAAAAGGGGGAAGTCTCTCACAAAAGTTACCCTAAATTACTGATTTGCACCAAATTTTTTATTGCCTTGTAGTTGTACGTATAGATATGTAGTTTTTTTTTTGGGGTACGGTGTCACCTACATGCAGGAATTGCATCAATTTGGGTCTTAAACAGTGATGCATTAAAATGCAGCATTTTTATAGTTTCGGGTAATAGTTAAGGATATGGTGGATATGAATCATATGATGAAATTTGAATGATGTCAATCCCATTCACTCATAATCTGACAATAACAAACAATTTAATGGGAAGAAAAGAGTAGATTTTGACACAAGGTGAACATATATGAGAGGTGCTTGAAATGTTTAATGTGAATAATTCAAAGCAACTTCAATAATAAATTAGAGTTCATCTATTGTAGTAACTCGCGTAAACCCATTAAAATTCAATGGTTGAAATGTGTTATTATCTGACTTTTTTCAATTCGTTCCGTGAATGTTAGTACAATCTTTTTAACTCCTTAAAGTGAGCTTCATACCAACTTAAGCAACAATATCTTCATTACCTAAATCAACTCAGAACGATTAGTAAACTCAATCGCTCTATCACAGCACATCTACTCTAACCTGATCGTACTTGTACACCCTTATCGAAACTTGTTACTAAATCAGGACATATGTAATTACACACTTAGCAATTAATGACAACCAAATCACATCCTCATAATTGTTAGTGAGACAAGGTTAACAAATCTGGCAATTTTAATTAGTTTACCAAGCATGAGAAAATAGCATCTTGACCTAGGTAAAAATATGGAAAAGAAAATCCAGGAATTTGTCCACATACAAAAATTTAATAAATAATGTTCCCATTGAATCACTAGTAGTTTATCAAAACCTCTCACCTCTGAGAAGGTTCCTGGTTAACTTCGGTTGGAAATAAAAGAAAAACAACTGGTAATGACAAACCATTTATGACAGAAGGAAAACCAAAACCACAGCCATCAAGAAATGGAAATAAAAACAAAGAAAAAAAGAAAAAGGCAAGCATGTGTTGTGATGGATATACTGCCAAAAAAGACCGACTAATTTTTTTAAATTTTAAATACGTTGCCATGTTGGGCGGGCAGTAATTTTCAAACGTTTACGCGTAACGGGGAGGGGATATGGATAACGGCGTAACGCGTTTAGGGGTGTAAGAAAGGGACAAGAAGGTCGCTGTTTTGCGAGAAAACGGAGGGCTGGAATTCCGTTAAAGAAACACTTTGTGGAAGAGGGGGTGGGTAAAAAATAAGCGCTGTAGAAGGTAAAAAGAAACGGCGGTTAAAGTCTGACAAAAGGCGCAGAGAGGCTTCTATAAGTAATCTCTTGTCTCAGTCGCTCAGAGAAACAGAGAGCAAGCAAGCGATAAGCAGAGAGCCCGAGAAGCTGAAAGCGAAAAAGTAAGACCAAAACCCCACCTCCATGTTTATTTTATTTATTTATTTATATATTTATATATTTTTTGGGCTGTTGATTTGCTTTGTTTTGCTCTGTTTTTTATTTAATTTTCTCGCATTTTCGCGGTGAAAATTTTAAAAATGGAAAAGGGAAAAAAAGGTGTGAGAGAGCGGTGGGAGGGGAGAGGAGAGGGAGGTGTGGGGCCCGTGGGGAGGCTTGAAGATGACGATAGTAAAAGACAGCTAGCAATGAAGGAGGAGGCTCACCTACCATTTTACACAACATCACTCTCTTTCTTCTTCCTTTTTAGCCCTTTCCTTCTCTCTCTCTCTCCTTTCAAAATGCAATTCACTTCTTCATTCAAAACCCATTCTCTCTCTCTCTCTCTCTCTCTCTTCTTTCTTCCGTTCCTTATATTCAACCAGGAATAGGGTTTTGGTAGTTTAGGGCTTCGTTTGGATTTTGGTCTCCGCTGCTTTGGTTTCGTTTCCTCTGAGTTTTTGTTTAGGCGGGAGTGAATTTGAGTTCAAAACCAAAACTCAACAGGTTTGGCTCTGCATTTCTCCACACTCTCTCTCTCTCTCTCTCTCTCTCTACAACTTTCAAAGTTTCAGTAGCGTCGGCAATGGATGCGCTCCATTTCCCCTATTTTCACACCCCTCTTGAATTCGCTGTTTTCGAGTTTAAAAAAAAGAAAAGAATTTTATTCGTCTTTCGTTCGCATTCACTTCAGAAATTGAACGCATTTTGAACTGGTTTTTGCTCTCTGCCTCTGCTTCCTCTTGTTCAAATTTCTCTCTCATTTTATTTCCTTTTTTCAGCCAAAAATTCCTTATCTTGGTTTTCAAGAAAAGAAAAACAACAAAAAGCAAAATTCGGAGTTTTGAGTTGGTACCAGCTGGCGCTACCCTACGCCATGTGTTGGTGTCACTTTACTGAAAGCTCCAAATTCACCTTGATTTTCGCCTCTTTTTAATTCTTCGTTATTTTTTTCTTCCAGAAATTTAAGTCATCAGTGTGAAATAAGTAAAGTGGAACCGGAAGAACCTTTGCGTTTAATTGCGTATCGCTGCTAAAATGCGCCACGCGCTTTCTGCGCCACATTGCCTATAAAAAATACAACTTCAAATTCAAATTCTACAAAGTGATTTTGTCGCTGATTTTTGGCCTTTCGTTCTTATTTTTTATTATCTCAGGACAATTTTTCAGAGACAATGATCGGACCGAACTTCATCGACGAGATAGACTGCGGGAGCTTCTTTGACACCATCGACGACCTCCTCGACTTCCCGAACGACGACGTCGAGTCCGGACTGGGCCCCGCCTCTGACTGCAACGCTGCGTTTAACAACTCCCTCTGGCCCAACCAGTCCGGCTCGCTCCCGGCTCCCAACGATGCCGTTTTCTCAGCCGGCAACTCCGCCTCTGACCTCTCCGCCGAGCTCTCCGTTCCGGTGAGTCACACTCCCTCCCTCTCGCTATCTCTCTCGGTGCTTCCGTGGCATTTAGCAGTGTCGGTTTCACGGGATTTGCGTGAAATGAATGTGACGATGACGTCATAAGTTGAAATTAGGACAGTTTTTATTTTTTATTTGTAATTTACATGATTTTCGTAGAATTGACGTGCCAGGCTGGCAAGCCCGCGTAAAGGTGGGCATGGTCCTCTGGTGCCGCATGTGGTGGGTGGGTGGTGTTGAGAGGATAGTGTTGTATTGGATGTGGTCGAAATTTTTTTAGGGTATTTTAGTCATTTGACCACGTAACGACGTCGTAGTGTGTCGGTGGGGGGTTTACAGTGAGAATAGTTTCATTTCATAATTGCGCGGTGAAAAATTGAAATGGGCGTGACATGTGACATGTCATGTGTTGAGTACACTCAAATTCCAAAGAGCGGGTATTGTGGTCAATGTTCTTACTGTACATGCTTTTCTGTCGGGTTTTTTTTTCTTTTCATCTTCTTCTTGAACTGGGAACTTAATTGGCCTGAATTTCATTTCTTTGTTGTGACAGATTGAAGACATAGTTCAATTGGAATGGCTGTCGAACTTTGTTGAGGATTCCTTCTCTGGTGGAAGCCTCACCATCAACAAACCAGACTCCTTCATCAACAAGGACACATCCCACCACCAGTTCCAGACCTCCAGCCCAATTTCTGTGCTTGATAGCAGTAGCTCTTGCTCCGGTGACAAGAATGTGCCGCAAAGTCCTGGACCGGTCGCTGCTCCCGGTAAGCGTGGACGTGCTCGCAGCAAGCGTCCACGCCCGGCCACCTTCAACCCTCGCTCCGCAATTCAACTCATTTCCCCCGCTTCCTCTGTTACTGAGGCAGAGGGCCCCCAGGCTCAGCCATTCCTTGCCCCAAAGGTCCCTTCTGATTCTGAGAATTTTGCAGAGTCTCGTCCTGTGATCAAGATACCAAAACAAGCTTCTGGGGAGCAGAAGAAGAAGAAGAAGCTCAAGGTGTCGCTTCCCCTCGCTCCTTTGGAGGGGAATCAAAATTCGGGTCCTACACAGGCAGCAGTGAGAAAATGCTTGCATTGTGAGATTACTAAGACACCCCAGTGGAGGGCAGGCCCAATGGGACCTAAAACCCTATGCAATGCCTGTGGCGTCCGCTACAAGTCAGGCCGGCTCTTTCCTGAGTACCGGCCTGCTGCCAGTCCTACTTTTGTTCCATCCTTGCACTCCAATTCCCATAAGAAGGTTCTTGAGATGAGAACCAAGGGTGGCGAGTTGGTTGTTTTTGGAGAGACTGCAACAGCTATGAACGAAACTCCCGAACTCATTCCAAATACTAACAGCAGCATCTCCATGGATTACATGTGATGCGAGGGAGGATGTAGAGGATAATATTCCTAGTTGGATACACAGTTTCCTTCTCTCTTCCTCTGTTATGTTATTTGTCTTAGTGTCATTTCATTTCTTTGTTCATTGGTTTTTTGTACAGGGATGGAATGGGGGGGAAAATAGGAGCAAATTAGATGACCATATATTTAGCTAGTAGAGGAGAGACCTGAAAAAAAAGGGGGGGTAGAGAGATGCAAGTTTAATGGTAGACTTTAGATGTAGTGATGATGATGGCTAGTAGTTCTTTAAGGTTTTTAGAAGTTGAGTCTGTGTTGTCTCCTTCAGCATTCATTTTCCTTTTATCTTCCTTTGCAAGGGAATTCTTTTTGCAGTTCATTTGTAGTAGCAAAATTCTGAAATGGGTACTGGAATTTGAGATTTCTTATGGTTTCTTTCTTTCGCTATTATTTTCGGGTTTTGCCCTTTTTTTTCCCTACTGAACCAACCAAAATGACCCAGAAGTTTTGCTTGAAGAAGCAGGAAAGCATAATCAAATGATGACAGTTTGTTGCTGCATCAATCAGTTTTGTATACAAATATTATCAATTGGTGGTGCTTTTAGGTCATCAATTTTGTGCACATTTCAAGTTTGCAAGAGGGTCATCAATTTTGTGCACATTTCAAGTTTGGAGGAGGGTCATCAATCATCCCTCATCAACAATTTGATGAGAAGTTGAGAACAAAATATGTCAAATCTTCAAGACTTCCTTACAATTATTTAAGAAAAGGCACATGGTTCTGTTTGGATACTGACACAATAACGCAAATGGGCCTACTAGGTAGGGCTCTGTTTGGCATATGATGGATTTGAACCTACAATCCCTTAAACCCTATCACATTTTTCCCACTTGTTCTGAAGGTCAAGCTCGTGAAATGAAGTATGACATATGGTCATGGGTCAATTTCCTAATATTCATACATATTATTTATTCCATCCTTACCATATAAGTAGGAGCTCCTATTTTTTATTCCAAAAAAAAAAAAAAAAAAAAAAAAAAAAAAAAAAAAAATCACGTTCCTGCTAATAGCAATGTGACAGAAGTTTTTGTTTTTGTGTTTTTGATAAATTATTTTTGCATATGTATCAAACTGTAATCCGTCAGGAAGAATGAGTATCTCCTTTGATTAATCTTTGAAATTAATTATGTTTGAAATAGTAAGAGGTTGGAAGATTCACAATCCATATATATATTTTTATTGGTGCATGGATCTGATTCTGATTTGGTCAGTTGGGCAATTGCGTAATGTTTTTCCTTAACTGATTAACTAAGTTTTTAAAGGTGGCATGCTTTGCCAATTTTGCCTGTGTGGTGTGGTGCTAAGAATGCGCTAATAAATAATGCTTTATGTTTTCTGCAACACCGTTGCTTAAAGGCTAATGAACCCCTCATGATCAAAACAAGAAGAAGGGCTCTTTTTATTTTATTTTATTTTTAATATAAAAAGAGAAATGATTCTAATGAAGATGTTGATGGAACAAAGCCAGTGAAAAGTCATTATATATATACAAAGAAAGAGAAGGTCGTCTTTCAATTATGGTTAAGAGTTTCACATGCCACATCTGACGAAACAAACTCATTAAGATGGCATTGAAATCAAAGTTAGGAGGACATTACTTTAGTAATTAAGTATTATTATCATTAGTTACTGGCCAAAGTCATTGCTACACAGTTAGGGTTGGCAGGTTAAAGTTGAACTTGAAAGTTGAAGTGACCCAACTTGGGTCGGAATTAAGGACATCATTGATAATGTGAAAGATACGAGAAATTTGACTTATCAATTCACTTATATTATAACACATGTATATATATGTTAATACCGAACTTTACAATATAAACTCGTTGCTCACTGCATATTATGATTTAGATAAACTAGTAATATCATGTGACGAGATATTGAGTTTCACGTAAAAATTTACCCAAAATTATATCCTTTGAACTGGGTTTGGGGGGGTAGAAATGGTGATTAATGTAGCTAAGGTTGTATGTCAAGGACTTTGGCAAGACGTCTCAATCTGACCAAACGCAAACCAAATGAAAGAAAAAGATCAACTTTATTACCAACAATGATAGTATTGATTATGCGCATAAACCAAACAGGATTACCATCAATCATTTCAGATAATTACTTTCATTTTTTTTCAAGCTGACTGGACTGCTAATCATATGATATGATATCATCTCAAATGCATGTTTTAAGTAACGCTTCATTGGGAAGGTTTGATAGGACATTGCAATGACATTAGAAAAATAAATAAAAACCCATCAAAAATAAAAAATAATCAATTTGTGTGAGACATGAGAACGAAAAGTCTGGGCAACCTGATGAGTTTGGTTTAAATAATGTTGGGTAGTTAAACCTAATTGCAAAACAATGCTCTACTGGTTTTTCAGTTTTCAATGATGACTATGTTTCGCAGAAAATAGGGCCACATTTGGGGGACATGATTTTATGTGCAAATATGGGGTTGGCCCCAAATTTGACTATGGCGACCCAAAGGCTGAACCAAAAATCCTCTGCACAAAGTCCGAACTGGTCACTGTTGAGTTGGACTGGCACCAAGTTCATAGGATAGGCCCAATGCTGATTGGATGAGTTATAGCTTAAGTTCAAATGTATTGTTCATTTGCACTGGGAAAAAAAGAGAGGAAAAAAAAAGTCAGAACCTTACTTTGATTGTTACATGTGATGTGTAACATTTTATTTTATTCATTTTTGGGGTAAATTTTAGACTTTTTAGTCATGGTAAAAAGAGTAAAGGTGTGGTCAAGCTCGTCCCATATTATTAAGGTAGCGAACAAACTTTTTCAAATTGCCACATAGATCAATAAACTTTAATTTTAAGAGTTTAATTTGCTACTACTATTGTGTCATGTTTACTAATCCGTAATTGGAATCAAATAAGGAGTTGAATTCCTTCCTCTTACTTATACTCATGAGTTTGTTTCACATGGAGGAATTAAAATGCGTGTGAGATCTACACAAAATTAGGAATTCAACTCATGATTTTGGAGGAATTGAAGTGGTATTATAATTCCTATAGAATTAATTCATTATGAATTCATCTTTTTTACCCATTATATTCTCACACAATTTTTAAAATTCCAAATTTGTCATATACTTTAACCCAACAACGAGGACATTTTAGTAATCAATTTAGTTTCAATTCCAATTCATGAGAGTTTAGTAAACAATTTATAAGGAATTAGTACCACTCCTACTCCAATTCCATATGGTTTAGTAAACAACTTCAATAAGAATCCGGATTCTAACTCTCCTCAATTCAATTCCCTCCTAATCTAATTATAGATTAGTAAACATACCATTGGAGATGTTCTTAATTTAATCTCTATTGTATGGTATGTTCAAATTTCTGTATATTATTTATTGGACCATGATGAGGTAGCTCACAATGATTTGCAAATTAATACAGAGGTGCAGAAAGATATTCAAATTATGAAAGACAAAGTATAAATATATATATCAACATTAATTAAGGCGATGCACAAGCATATATAACAATTTTGAATTGGACACCATTGTATTGGGAAGCTGAAAGATGATTTCCTTTATGTTCACACACACTTGTCCAAGCTTAAAAAGATGCAAATTTAAGAAAGTTTTGTTGTCCATTATTACAATTTACTGGTCAGAGAGAGTGATGAAAAAGTCAGGATTATATATGGCGGGAGTTACCTTAAGTTCCTCCCCGTTATCTGAGCCCAAAGTCATCTGCACATGTAGACATGTATTGGTTAGTTAATGGACATGATAACGACTTATTTTTCTCGTTTGTATGTATACTTTATTTCGACTTCAAGAAAGAGGAGTTGTTTTGGACTCCTCGTTGCGTTGCCTTGGAGAAAAAGCAAGGTCTTTGAAATTTTCTTCACTTGCTTAATTTTAGGATATCTTTGGCCCTAGTGGATTTTTCTTCATTAGAAGATAAATATATGATAACAAAGAATTATAATAACAAAGAATGGATGCTAAATTACAAAATATATATGGAACAATATCTTCTTCCTCTTCCTCTTGGGAGGCTTAGACTTTCTAAGTGTGGCGAATAGGAGCATGACATATTTTTCAACCATGAGACTTATTGCAATAACGGTATATTATTTGTGGATCTAACAAGTATTTCCATAAAGAGTATACTACTCAAAGGTCCATTGTATTCTATGGAAGTTTTTAGTTGTACTGACACGATGATTTCTCTAAATAATTATGGAGATTTGGTTGAACCAGAAGATCAAGAACAAGAAGGTGTTACTGAATGCCTCATATCTTAAGAAACTGATGAGAATCTGACTAAGGCTGAAGAATCAAATGGGAGAGACTTTGTTTACTTGAAAACTAGCTGAAAAACAACAACATTTCTTCTCTAGATCACTTGCAATATAGAGAGGAAACAAGTAAATTCCAACAACAAATGTATAATTGCACTTAAAGAATCACACTAAGGATATACACTCACTCCTGCATGCACATGTTACATGCATGTAGCAACCAGAGGACAAAAACGATGCAAATTTAAGAAAATTTTGTTGTACATATTAGGATTATATATCACAGGTGTTGTGTTGACCTGTTAGTTAAAATTTAAGATTAAGAGGGAAGATGCAGCTCTCGTCTCAATCTTCAACATTTTTGCACGAATGAAGGCTGAAGCTTTATAATTACGTCCTGCAACTTGTACTTTGTATTGCATTTGCATTGTGGTTGTGGACACTACAATAGAAAATGATGGGTGAAACCAATGTACACAAATATGAAAATCAAAGAATTAATGTAGCAGAAGTAAATATTTACTAATGCAAAACCACAGCCATATAACTTCCATAATTTAGCAAAATATACAATAAGAGAGGCATTATTCCACACCCAAAAAAAAATCCCTAATTGTCAAAAGCCAAAAAAAATTTCTCAATGTTAAAAGATTTTTTGTATATTGGTTTCTTTATAGAGACGGGCCAGCATCCCATTCGGCGTTGATCACGAGTTTTCTAAATCTTACGGCGAATTATTATTATCAATTAAGATGCTATGGAGGTTCGAACTTGAGACCTCTGCAAGTGAAGACCATTTTCCACTGTGAGTTTTGAAAAGCCTAGGGTGAAAATTTAAATTGTGCTCTGAGTGGTGGTGGGTAATTTCTTTAACTAATTGTAATACTTTGTTGTATTGATAATTAAAGTATCAAGTTATGGTGAAGTTAAGCCCCCTAAATTTTGCTTTTCTTTCGTAAAGGATATTTTTCAAGCCCAAGCATTTAGGTGGTGCCCAAGGCCTAAAATAAAACCCAAACTCGAATTTCAAATCACCAAACCCAACAATTTTCTCTGGCCTTTATTTTTTGGTGTCGTGCCAGTTTAAAAATGGAAGATTTGGGATTCAGATGTTACAATGCCCCTCTGTCATGTCTATCAAACTTGAAAACTCGACACTTGGCGTTCATGTTGTTAGAATTCTATAGTAAATGCCTTATCTAAGGCCCTTAGATGAAGTCCTATTTCTTAACCGTTTGATTAAATTAGTTAGCTGTTGGATCAAATTAATTAAGAGATATGACCTCATCTAAGGGCCTAAGATAACGTCCTCACTATAGAATGACTCGTTAGTAGTGTTTGTTTTTAGATTAGGCTACACCTTTTCCAGCCATTGTTGATGATAAAGCCCTTTATTGGAGATGGCCCAACTGAATCGTCATGAATCTTCTTTAGGCCCATATCTTTTTCTTCTTCTTTTCCATTGAAAAAACTTGTAATGAGAAAATAGATGGATGTTGATCGTTGAACTGAGCCTGTCAAGTTACATAACTTTAGTTGTCGGTGAGTGGGTTGCACATGGGCGGGAAAGCGATGTTACTTTATTGAAGGTGTAGCCCAACTTAGCCGCACATGACATATCATCTCTTAACATATTTTCTCATAACCGACTTAAGGTGGAACCAAATTGTCACAATTTCACAAGGTGCATATGGTAAACTTTTATGCACGCTCACAAATTATGGTCCCCAACCTCACGTGTGACAACTTCTTTTTTGTTCCGAAGAACAAGTGCGAAACTGAAAGCAAGCAACAACTCGGGATCATAAATCAACCATTTTAATTTAGAGAGTCAATGACTCGATTGAATTGATCTTTGTCAGTCATAAATATTAATAAAAATAAACAAAACTTAGCGGCTAAGTTGACTAATTAATTAAGGTTTAATTGAGTGTGGAAGCGAGAGCAGCGGCCATGGCTGGCAGAGCGGCATGTGAGAGAGAGAGAGAGCAGCCGCGGCGTATGTTATGTGGTCGCCATGTGTACGCATTCAATGTCGTTGATGTTAATGTGTACAGTATATATATGTTCATGCAATTGACATTGCATGTTTTGACGACGACTATTTTGCTCTCAGCAACTTGGGGACCAGAAAATTTATTGCTTTGATTTGTTTTGCTTTGCTTTGCTTTGCAAACCCCTTAATGCGTTTTTAATGCAATTATTGTGGCTCCTCACCCACGCTAAGAGCTTGATTAAAAACCCTAAACTTTGCTACCTCAAAGCCATCGAAATATAATAAACACTTTGTATTATCAACTTGACTGGTTCACACCACCAATCTGTCTAGTCTACCTATAGGAAATTGCATTTATCATTAAAATTGAGAGAAAATGAAGGTTACCATGACCCGACCTACTCCAATAAGACCCGTGTTTAATGGAAATGACAAGTCTGACAACACCGGATTATGATCCGTAAGCTACATTTCACAATATGCTATGGTCACATCTACAACGCGCTTGAAATTTAGAATTTCTTTAAATAAAGTGGAGAAAAATGTCATAGTAAGCGAATAGTTAATTGGTAGCATATGTCAATTTTGACTCATTCAAATATCAGATAGTGAGTTATAAGATGCTAATTACCGTATTAACTAAAAAAGCATAACAAAATATTACTATTCCCAAGTTGGAACCAAGTTTTTCTTTTCTCTACCCTCCAAAACTGCATTCAGCTTTCTTTTTGTTTTTTTAATTTAGAGTTACGTACGCGGGCTGAGCTTTTCACAATTTTACTGTTGTAGGGCCAACAGAAGAAACGACACAGATTCGGACGTGGGACCCAGTCACCTAGACGCGTCATGTTTCCATTATCCCATCCCCATCTATCTCACTGACGAGATTTACAACAGGACGTGGGGCCCATCGGGATAGTATACAGCCATGTGGAGGAAGTGCACCCGCTCGTTTACAAATGTCGTTGAAAATGAAAACATTACGTTAGTAGATCCGGTGGATGGTAGCGACTGCTTCTATTGCTTGAGTTGTGACTCTGCTTTGTCAGCTGTCGGCGTTCCCTTCTTTTACTCGATGCCGATTCAATCAAACGGTAAAATCAAAATTAACATTTAACTTCTTTTCTTTATTTTGATAATCGAAAATTTTAAATTTATTTTAGAATTCAAAAAGATAATAGGTAGTTGTGTTCTATAAAAATAAGATTCATTATCTAATTTTTTTTTTAATTTTAATATGAAAATTTATGAATTTACCATATTATCCTCATTTATCAGGTAAAAAACTCACTTATATCGACTTCAATATCGAGTCACATGAAAAGTAATGTCAAAAGTATTTCACAATACCTAATCAAATGTACATTTTAGAAATTCTATGTGTTCCTTATTTTCAAAGTTAAAAGTATCCGTCTAACTATTAGTTCAATCACACGTGTAAAAGGAGGAAATGTGAAAATTGTTTCCCATTCCACTCGAGAAGAAGTAGTGCATTTTGACTTTTGAGTACTCAAAATAGCAATGCTCTCTCCATCATCGTTGCTTGAGAGAGAAGAAATTAATAATCACAATTCAACTTCACGAACTGGTTCCAAGTTCTAAACAATTCCCTCAATCCTCACATCACTCTAAATAATTTTGTGGCAAAAGTCCTTATCAAAGGCCCATACGAGAAGGACAATGAACCCCAAGTGACAAGACAACACCCATTTAGAGACCCTTTGAATGGGGCGTAGGGTTGGTCAGGAGGCACTTGTTGTGTTTGTGGTTATGGCGGAGACTAAGAAAAATGCCCAACCACATTGACGAGAGGCCACATTAATTAAACATAATAAATTGTTGGGGTCAAGTCGTAAAAGTTTGGTGAGGAAGAAGATATGTTCAGGGTTTTGATGAGAGTTTTAGACAAAATTTGTGTTGCTGTCAGTTGTCTGCATCATCTCCTCCAACTGGTTAGGTCTGATCCCTCCATGTCCATTTGCGGCACATATGTCTTTTAACAGTTTTGGTTCTCTAGAATGTTTGCTAGGGTTTATAATTCTATCAAGTTGGATGGAGGCAAAATTGATTGTAATTTCAGAGAGAGAGAGAGAGATATAAAGAAATGAACCAAAACTCAATTAAAAACTTAAGTCACGTGCATGTCACATGATTGAAACCCTAAACCCTTTTGCATTTTCATATTTGAGAAAACTAACTATCCCTTATTAGACCGACCGAAGTCATTAGCCGAATGATTTGGCTTTTCTTTATATCCCATCTTTTTGTCATATTAATTTGTCCTAATGTATTAGACGTCGCTTTTGGTGCCTCCTTTTATCAAGTTCATTCTCTAATCCAAAAATCACACTAATTCTTGCCTTAATCTCTTACGTAAAAATCGATTAGTTATATATAAAATTGAACGGTCGTGATGCGTATAAGGGGAAATTCCATCCGATATTCTAATAAAATTAAGACCACATAAAATCACAAATTTATAACAATTTTAAATTTCATTACAACATAACATGTAATCAATTAGTTAGAAAATTAAATGGTCTTGGTACGTATGAGTAGGAATTCCATCCGATACTCTGATAAAATTAAGACCACATAAAATTACACGAATGTATAACAATTTTGAATTTTAATACAACCTAACATGTAACATGTTAGACTCTATCTAATTTTATATATTTAGGGCATGACAACTTTTTTTTCTTTATTGGTTAAACTAAAAAAAAAAAAAAAAAAAAATGAAAAAGATAATGTGAAAAGAGAGATTCAAAAACCTGGTAGTTGAGATGATCTTGTCCTGTTCTTAGCCTCAGAAATAGCACGACAAGATCATGTCCAGGAGCTACAAATCTGGGACACAACAAACAACCAGTGAAGAGATAAGGACACGTCACACGTTGGGGGTTGACTGTGGACTATTGACCAGGGTTTATATTGTACTACAACTCAAACTGAACCTGAGTTAACTTAAGTCACTAAACGCGAACTTAACCTTGGTTAGCCCCGAAGAGTTAGGGCTCAGACAATGAAAACTTGACCATAGGAGTCCACGTACTTCGGTTAAAACCACTACCTTGATTTCAGCACTTGCATGAATGTCGCCATATTGTAACAATTTTGCGATTTATTCGCATACTCAAATTTATTTTATTTTTTCATTTTTCCAATCCCATTTTAATTAGTATTATTTTATGTTTTCATATATTCAATTGATTGGATAATTTTTCTAATAAACCTGTTTTTATGAGGACTTTGTTGTTCTATATTTTATTGAATAATGCTATAGAACTCAAAAATTTCCCACATTATTAGTTGGAAAATTTGAGAGAAGTAATTATTGTTATTTTTTATGTGGAGGGATTTACTCCAATAGTCAAAGTTGCCCATGTGTTGTGTGAAAAACATGAGTTGACTTTTGCAAATTCCGTTAATTTAATTTACAAGCGTTAAGTTTCCTATATTCTTGAAATCGAGTAAGAGAATGTAACATGAAGTCGTGACAAACTTTACTAAATTCTTCAATGAACATGATAACGTTTGATCAACTTCTTGAAGACACAAAGTTTGTGACAAAAGAAAAAGGAAGAGGTAAAGGGTTTCAAACCTAATGTTTTTTAAGAGAGCACAAACACAAATACATTGTGTTCTTCACTACGTACCCTTTTGGGTTGGGGCCTGATTTACACAAGTTGAAATCTGGTGGATTTATGAGTTTCTCTGACTTTTGACTTGAGATATGAGTTTTCATGGCTTCCAAAGTGTGAGACACTAAAATAAATGGCCTTGAAATTTGTAGGAAGTGTTCACTACTACTAATGAGCTTCTTTAATGGAGCATGAGCTTAAATTTATTGGAATGTTTAATGCCACTTAATTAGGTTACTTTGTGCCATGAGCCTTGTGCCTTCCAAGTAACATTGACTTTCCCTTGCACATGTTTCATCAAAATACATAGAAAATAAATAGACACAAGCAAAACAAATAAATTGTTATCAATATTTAAAATCATGGGAACAGAAATTGTGAAAAAAGAAAAGAAAAAGAAGAGAGAGAGAGAGAGAGAGATAGAGATGAGAAAGGGAATTCACCTGAAATTTGGCAAAGCCACTTGGACTTTTGCGATCCGAAACTATCGAAAATAGCACGTAAATCTCTGGACCCGCGATAATAATAAAATAAAATAAGAATAATATAAAAAAGGGGGAGGCTTTTGCCTTTTGGTATGTGTCCCTTGTCGTCTAAATCTCTCTCTCACACACTCCTAACACAGTCTGCTCTGGTCGGCAACGAAGCTTCAGCCTCGGCAACACCCTTCTTCTTCTTCCTTCTTCTTCTTCTTCTGCCTTCACTTGTTGTTTCTGTGTGTCTCTGAGAGAACCCACTAGAGCTTTTCACACAGACAGAGAGACAAAAGACAGAGAAGCCGACCCTTTACAGTTCACATCCACAAAGTCACAGCACACACCAACTCTCTAGATTTTTTGGACTTCATATTTCAGAGGAATTCCAAATCCTGGTGGACTTTCATCTGTCATATTTCTGCTTTTTCTGAAAGAGAGGTAATCATTGATTCTTGTTAACTTGTCTTGCTTAAATCTCATGTTTCTGTTCTGTTAGTTGGTTCTTGTTGTTTCCAAATTTCTTGGCTTTTCTGTGTGTTCTCATAAATCCCAGCAATTGAACTTGAAAAGTTCCTGGATTTTTCATTGAACATTAACTTGTGATTGATAGTTTGATACTTTCCTTCTCCAGTTGTCAGTTTCTTTGCTGCTATATTTTTTTTAAAATTTAATTCTGTTTTGAGTTTTTTTTTCTTTTAAGAAATTATGGCTTTTCTTCCCTTACCAATAATAACATATCTAACTTGAAGTTTTTTTTTCTTTTGTTTTTGTAATTCTCATGTGTTAACAGCTGCATTTTCACTGAGGCAAGCAATAAGCCATACAAGGAATTTTTATGCTGTAAAGGTTCAATAGTTTGTTTGACATTATGATTACAGTAATGGATTCTGTAAGAGGCCCTATGAACAACAACTCAGAGAAGTGGTTATTGGATTCTAAATTCTGGCATGCCTGCGCTGGTGGCATGGTTCAAATGCCACACATCAACTCTAAAGTCTTCTACTTCCCTCAGGGACATGCTGAGTGCGCCCATGGGAAAGTAGATTTTGGGAATTCTAGAATTCCTCCACTCATTCTTTCCAGGATATCTGCTATTAGATATATGGCAGATCATGAAACGGATGAGGTTTATGCGAAAATAAAGCTGATACCAATAAGAGAGAATGCTTTTGATCTTGAGGATGGGTTTGTGGAAAACAATGGAACAGTTGAGAATCCGGAAAAACCCACATCATTTGCCAAGACATTGACCCAATCTGATGCTAACAATGGGGGAGGGTTCTCCGTGCCTCGTTACTGCGCAGAGACTATCTTCCCACGCTTGGATTACTCTGCTGAGCCTCCTGTTCAGAACATTCTTGCAAAGGATGTGCACGGTGAGACTTGGAAGTTTAGGCATATTTATAGAGGTACTCCTCGTCGTCACCTCTTGACAACAGGATGGAGTAATTTTGTGAACCAGAAGAAGCTTGTTGCTGGAGATTCTATTGTGTTTTTCAGAGCAGAAAGTGGGGATCTTTGTGTTGGAATTAGAAGGGCTAAAAGAGGAATTGGTGGTGGACCTGAATACCCTTCTGGATGGAACCCTGCAGCTGAAAATTCTGGCTCTCATTATGGGGGTTATTCTGGCTTCCCAAGGGAGAATGGCAATAACTTGATGGAAAGAAATTCTAGTGGTGAGTGGAGAGGTAAAATCAGGGCTGAATATGTTATTGAAGCTGCAACTCTTGCTGCCAGTGGCCAACCCTTTGAGGTTGTGTACTATCCTCGTGCAAGCACACCAGAGTTTTGTGTTAAGGCTACATCTGTTAGAGCTGCAATGCAAATTCAATGGTGCTCAGGAATGAGGTTCAAAATGCCTTTTGAAACTGAGGATTCTTCTCGGATAAGCTGGTTCATGGGAACCATATCTTATGTTCAGGTTGCAGATCCCAGCCGTTGGCCTGAGTCTCCATGGCGCCTTCTACAGGTTGGTTACACGTACCTTCTACGTAGTTTTTATAAGATTGAGTTTAACTTTTCAAATTTTGCATAAAACTTATCTTCACTAACGCTTCCCAAACTGTTGCAAAATTGTTAGCCTAGTATATATGCATGATATCAATTATACTAAAACTGTTAGTAGACAAATATGAAGTTATCATCTTGTAAATCATTAAACAAAATATCATCATTTCAGGTTTCATGGGACGAGCCAGATCTGCTCCAAAATGTGAAACGTGTTAGCCCATGGTTGGTCGAATTGGTATCAAGCATACCAGCCATCCATCTTTCTCCCTTCTCTCCGCCAAGAAAGAAGCTGCGACTTCAACATAACCCAGACTATTCCCTTGTTAGCCAACTTCCAATGCCTTCAGTTTGTAGCAACTTCCTAAATTCGAGCAACCCCTTATGTAGTGTATCAGACAAAATATCAGCGGGCATACAGGGAGCCAGGCAAGCTCAATTTGGACTATCTTCATCAGATGTCTTCTTCAACAAACTTCATTCGGGTATGTTTCCAGTTGGTTTTCAAAAACTTGGTCATTTTGCCCCTTCCGGAATCCCTGAGGGCAACTTCATGCACATGGCTGAAAGCAATGAGAATATTACTTGTTGTCTGACAAAGGGAATTCCCTCCCAGAGTTTGAAGGGCAATGGTGAGATAAAGACGCCTCACATATTTTTGTTTGGTCAGCTAATTCTTACAGAGCAACAGATGTCTAAGAGCTCCTCTGGTGATTGTAGTTCATCAGATGGGCATCCAGAGAAAAAAGGAAATTGTTCTGATGGCTCTGGCTCTGCATTACATCGCAATGGTTCAGTGGAAAATTCATCTGATGAAGGGTCTCCCTGGAACAAAGATCATCAGAAAAGCAATGTTAGTTTGGAGACAAGTTATTGCAAAGTGTTCATTGAATCGGGGGATGTGGGGACCCTTGATCTCTCTGTCCTTGGATCATACAAAGAATTGTATGGAAAGTTGGCCGACATGTTTGGCTTGGAAAATTCTGAGATGCTGAGAAATGTGCTCTACGGGGATGCAGAAGGTGCTATTAAACACACTGAAGATGAACCCTTCAGGTACTTTTGTGCATATTTATTGCTTTTGTAATCTTGTGCCTTATTTTTCTCTTTCTCGGTTTTCCAAGATGTGTATGAGCAATACTCATGATGTTTTGTGTGTTTTCTTGGTTGCTTTGGCAGTGAGTTTTTGAAGACAGCTAGAAGACTTTATATGGGCTGAGTTCCACAACTGTGATGCTTCATGCCTTGGCTTCAGGACCAAAGGATCTTGAAGATACCATAGAAGTAAAGAAACTTCTCTGGTACATAACCGTACTCGTAGATTCAGGCAATGAAAATGTAGGAAGATAGAGAATGAGAAACTCTCCTTTATTGACATTATTGTACAGTTGCTTTTCTTGATCTTTCTTTTGATGTTTCAATTTCTTGTAGTAAATCCGGGTTAAATCCCTCTCCACCAAATTGTGGATTATTCTAATTCAATTTCAAGTTATTTTTCTAGGGACCTGGTTATGTTTTCTTTCTAAAAGCCAGATTCCAGCCTGCAAATTTCTTGCTCTTTGTCTCTGTTCTTTTTCTTTATTTTCTTTCATAAATGATATGGAAACAAATTTGAAAGCTTGGGTTGCAAAGTGCTCCATGAATCTGTAATTATTTTATGTGAAGGGCATGGGAAACAAGTTGATATTTCATTGTGAGGAAATGGCACCAAATTCATTGTGTTTTTCTGCCCACATAGGTTGAAATTTCAGACCACCTTGTGTTGGCGAAGAAAACAATAGCTTGTTTATCTGAATTGTCGTTTTTCACTTCTCTTCTGACCTATTAAGAATTAAAGCTTAATTTTACCTTTTTTTATTATTTAAAATTGAAGAAAGAAGGAGAACAAACTTGTATATAATAGGGATATCACTGTTTTGGTATCCCAACCAATCACATTTCGCTTATGATAACTTTTCTATATGACGAAAGTATGTTGAAAAAATACCTCTAATCTGAATAACATGGGATATATATGTGTTGTGTTGTATCAAATGTAATATAATATAATATTTCAATTAATCAACTTGGGATATTGGAGTAAATAAAATATTGAGAAGAAGCTTGTTGCTGGAGATTGCATTGTGTTTTTCATGCCAGAAAGTGGGGTTCTTTGTGTTGGAATTAGAAGGGCTAAATAAAAGAGAAATTAGTGGTGGACCTGAATACCCTTATGGATGGAACCCTGCAACTTGAAATTCTGGCTCTTACTATGGGGATTGTTCTGGCTTTCCAAGGACGATGGCAATCCAGTGATGGCAAGAAATTCTAGTGGTGAGGTGAGAGGAAAAATAAAGGCTGAATATGTTATTGAAGCTGCAACTCTTGCTGCGGTGGCCAGTCCGTTGAGATCATGTACTATCCTCGTGCAAGCACACGCTGAAGTTTTGTGTTAAGGCCTCGCTGTTAGAGTTGCAATGCAAATTCAGTGATGCTCAGGAATGAGGTTCAAATGCCTTTTGAAACTGAGGGTTCTTATCGGATCAGCTGGTTCATGAGAACCATATCTTATGTTCAGGAGTTTCCATGGTGTCTTCTACACGTTGGTTATATATACCTACTACATAGTTTTTATTAGGCCGAGATTAACTTTCCAAATTTTGCATGAAACTGATCTTCACTAATGCTTCCAAACTAATGCAAAATTGTTAGCCTAGTATAAATGCACGATATCAATTATATGGTATAAGGTCCTAAACTCTTGCCTTCAGGACCAATGGATCTCGAAAATATCATAAAAGTAAATAAACTTCTCTGGTACATAACCGTACTCGTAGATTCAGGCAATGACATTGTAAGAAGATAGAGAATGAGAAAGTCTCCTTTATTGACATTATTGTACAGTTGCTTTTCTTGATCTTTCTTTTGATGTTTCACTTTCTTGTAGTAAATCCTGGCTAAATACGTATCCACTAAATTGTGGATATTCTAATTCAATTTCAAGTTATTTTTCAACGGAAACTGGTTTATGTATTCTTTGTAAAAGCGAGATTCTAGTACGCAAATTTCTTCCTCTTTGTCTCTCTTATTTTTTTCTTTATTTTCTTTCATAAATGATATGGAAACGACTATCTGGTGGCATGTTTTTTCTGCTCAAAGAGATTGAAATTTCAGACCACTTCGTCTTCTGTTGGCGAAAACAACAGCTTGTTTTTGTGACCCTGTTCATTATTGGAGCTTAATTTTACACATATGAGTTGATAATTGTTGACATTTCACTTCTCTTCTGACCTATTGAGAATTGAAGCTTAATTTTACCTTTCTTTTTTAAAATTGAAGAAATGAACTTGTATATCACGGGAATATCACTATTTGCTATCCCCAACTAATCACGTTCCTTCATATATGATAACTTTTCTATATGATAGAGGTATATGTAGAAAAAGTACATCTCATGTGAATAATATGGGGAATAAGTCACTCATAATGTCCATTATATTTATTGTGAAATGCGCTTATATAATCAAATGATTGTTATTTATCCAAAATATATATGTGTTGTATTGTATTGTATATCAAATGTAATATAATCTGATACTTCGGGTTGGGGTTTAGGTATTTAAATTAATGACAATCTATGCAAACAAGGCTCAGAATATGTGGATGAACAATGAACCCTAATAAACTTTTAGAGGTTTGATGACTGTAAAATGACAAGTTAGATAATCCCAACCATTTTAGTCTACTATTCTGCCGCAAATGTGGGAAGGTAAGGTCCCCTAGGCCTAAGATCCATTGGGATTTGAAGGCTTTGAGACCATAAAAATCAACTAGCTTTGACAGTCAAATGAGCATTTCTGTTTTCCATTTCTAAATGCACTCCTAGAAATTTGTCTTTGAGAAAGAGAGAAAAAAAATAGCATCAAGCAGACAGAGATTCGTGAGCCAAGTAATCCCACCCCTCTGCTTACTTTGAATGGTTCATAGGGAAAAAGATTCTTATTATATTATGAATATAAAATTAAGATTGGTTTGACATTTACAAATCTCACAAGCAAGCTGGACCAACCCAAGAGACAAACAACTTGGTAAGACAGCAAAGATGCAGAAACATCACACATTCTTTGTGCGTGGAATTTGGATCCTCATTTGACGAAAAAGGTTGTGTCTTTGCAACAACAAATTAATAAAGAAAAAAATTTGGCCACTTACACATGACATGAAATGAAAACCAGGTTGGTCAACAATAATATTAGACAGTTTTGAAAATGGGAGCTCATTTTAGGATTACGATGGTGCTGTGCTTTTCTCAAAATGTTATTTTAGTGACCGAGATCCAAGATTTCTATGGATGTGTCCCCTTAGTCAACTGTATCGATCAGATTTTCGACATAGGTTTTTGCAAAAACACTCCAACCTGTTTTCCATTTGCTCTTCTGTTTTTATATTCACCCGCACGCATTGCATGCGAAAAGAAACTCAAGGCTTAAGTCAACTCAAAACTTTGTCAAACAACATCGTGTTCGTGCTGCTTATAATTGTTTTTAATATGTTTTTTTTTAACTCTGAAGCGAAGGTTGAGCATGTGGAATATTTTAGAAGTACAACAAAATCTGAGGCCAAATCAAAAGGGTTCTTGGTGCCTTTTAGAGTAGATAGTCAGCATGTTCTATTGATTTGTTACGTATAAAGTCAAAAATAAACCTACTTGTACTACTTAGCTACTTAACCTTGGATGGACTGTAAGCTCATTGGTATTCAAATTTCACGTGAATTAACTTGATACGTGTGGTTTGCGAGTGATTGCACGTATTCAAAATTTACTTTAAGATCTTATATATGATGAGGGGGTGACCCGTGAAGCTTCCCTTTCTATGAAGAATATAAACTATTTGCCCCGCATTTATGGATCACGTCGTTATCAAGTTTCTTGTACAAGTGAGACGTATCTATGATTCAATCTTAACTCAATCTATGACACGTGTGATTTACTGTGGTATATGTAGCTTATTGTTCATAACTTTACTAATTTCAAAGTAACCAGACTGCCAGACACTAAACCTCAACCTTGGCCAAAAGGCTCAAAACATCAAATTGGAACAATTAATTAGCGTAGGATTATTGACGGTGTTTTATTAAAATGTTCTAAATCGTTGGGTTAGTTAGAACTCAGAACAGCAACCATTGGGCCAATTTGGTATGTTCTCTTGGAACTATGTCACCTCTCGAGCTAGGCCCTTTCTTTTGGTGGACTCATTGTATGCATTAACCCAACCTCAGTCTTCTTCTTTTCTGATATCGACCACTTTGCTATTGGTATATTCGGTTTCAGTTCACCACAAACAAGACACTCCTGTGCTTATTGTCTTATTATTATAGACGACACCTCACCCAACTATTTTTGGAGTTTATGGACGAAAATGTAACTCGGAGATTAGTTTATTAATACTAAAATGTTGGTGTGGATATAAATGATAGGACTTCAATCAAAATTACAAAATGCATAAAAATTGTTATAGCCCCTATTTAAACATAATTATATAACGCCAAAGGCATATTTTAGAACAGCAGTGTTGAATCAATATTCAATCAAAGGCATATAGCTACATAATTATATATATTTTTTAAGGATTCCTCAAATAAGTTTATTTGAGGAATATTTTTGTAGGGCCCACTCTGTATTGTATTTTACTAATCCAAACCGTCTATTTTGTAGATACTCATTCAAAGATTATCTCTACAAAAAATCACTTGAATCCGATATCATTTGACCACTCCATTGAATTATTGAAATTTTAGTACTTTCTGAAGCAACGTGTTCATTGATTTGTAGGACACAATTGGATATTGAAACGGTTTCCAATTTATCTAATTTTTTGTAAGGATCTATGAATGCATACTTCAACAAATAGATGGTTTGGATCGTTGAAAAAAAAATCGCAGTCGACCCTAAAGGATATCCTTCAAATAAAATTATTTAAAAGGAAGTTGAAACATAGAAGTCAGAAGTTAGAACATTAGAATTCAGATGAGTAAAATTAAACTCTCTATCGACATTCCATACAAATCTTTCCATTTTAATTTTGGTATTGCTGGCTTGGTATAGCTTAGGATCATAAAAAACCGAACTTGGACATTATCCCAACATTTATCTGGAGGAGGCATCGTCATAAGAAATCTACAATTTGCCTTGAACCCCAAAGGCCATGCTACAAATCCCCTTTGGTTAGAAGAATCCAGCGGGTCATCTTCCAAGTATCCATTTCAAGAACCCATATGTCGCAAAAATAATTCAGTTGCTCATGTCTTAGATGGAAAGATGAAAGTGATTTCTCAAGCACTCGAACATGACTTTTAGGGTAACCTGTAGGCACTTGATGACTAGGAACCATAATCCTTTTAAACTCCTCACTGCCCAAATCAAAAGCAAGAATGAATAAAGTGCATTCAGGTTGACCAGAAGTATTCTGCTTTGCAATCCAATACACAACCCCATTTAAGAATGCACATTGTTATCCAAAAAAGTGACATGGGCACCGTATGAAACAGAAGGAACTGCGCTAATTCTTCTCCAAGCATAAAGTCTAAGGGTGTAAATCTCAACCACAATTTCAGCCTCATACACACTTCCATTTTTTGCAAACCTCACCAACTTCACAACCTTATAGTCATTTTCATCACGATCAAATCCTAACCCGAGAGCAATGACATAGGTTGTATCCTGAATAACGCCCATTGAAAGTCTTTTGATTTTTCTGATAGACGGATTCCATAGATATATAAAATTATTATCAAGTTTACGCAAACCAATCCGTTGCAAGAACAATTAACGACACAAACAATGTTGGGCACAGGAATCCTTAAATCTGAACACTTAGAAAAAGTTTCAGCACAAAAGAGTGACCAATTTGTTGTGATACTGTAGATAAGTAGATGATCACATGCTTCTTTCATGGCACTTGTTTCGAGATGGGCGCTTATGAAATCGGGGCTGCTAATCAAAGTTTTCCAAGATTGGCAAACACATCTGTACCGCAGAAGAGATGTAATGTTGCAAGGATTTGAAACAAGATTTCTTCGGGTATAAAAACTACTCGCTCATCCCTTCTTTGTAGTCTACTTCTACACTTGAGAGTAGACATGTTGAAAAAGATGCCTACAGAACTCAACTGGTTTTAACAAGAAAATAATGAGACTCAGATTCCAAATTGACAACTCGATCACCATGACCAGAAACCAATAACTTCAACACCCTTGCAAGTCGTGGTTGGAACTTTACGTAAGCAACATATAATAATGACATATCCACGAAGTAAAAAGCATACCTGATTTATTTTCTTCAGTTCACCCTCTCAGAGCTCTAATAGGCTTCCAGTCCTCGTTCGCGATCAACTTCAGTTTGCCTCTTGAGTTTCTTTAGGGTTTTATTTTCATCTTCCAAGTCGTGTAAAACGCCGTGCTTTTTGGGATTGATATGAATGTCCTGCAGGCAAGGTGTGTAGCTGAATTGTCAGAATATGCTTTGGATTTTATTATTATCATTATTATTGGTGTATTAATTTACATGACAACTGGGGAAAGAGTGGAGAGGATGATGTTTTACCAAACAAAGTATATGAGATTATTTTCCGATATGTATTCTCTAATATTGAGGCATTTATAAAAAGTATAAAGATGTGTTAATCTTAAATAAAATAGGAAATAAATATAAATTATAATAGAACTAAATAAACGGCTAAGTCACCAAAATCTTATTTAGTTCCTAACTAAATAAGGACTCGTCAACACTCCGCCTCAAGTTGGCGCAAAGATGTTTCACATGCCCAACTTGACAAGTGAGTCATAAAACACGGTACTCAAGATTGACCAATGGAACCAACAATAGAGAAGGTCTTAATGTAAGCCATGAGTTAATCAACATACAAACCAAAGCAAAGATTGTAGCGGAAACACAAGCGCAAACCCTAAAAAATAGGGTCAAAACAAGAGAAAAGGCAAGACAAGAACAAACAATGACAACGGTAACAGCAACAGCAACAGCAACTACAACCGCAATGAAGAATTCTTCCATATCAACTTTAACCAAATCATACAGACACAACTTGCGTATCAACTTTTACTTGGTAGAGATATAAATTTCTTATTTGGTTCGGGGCACCTAAACACGCTTGGTGATTTGTTGATTCGCTCAAAATGAATGAACCTAAAGTCATTGACATATACAAGCTTATTTTTCATAACATTACTTATTCAGTTATTATACTTTTACTTGTGCAAAAGGATCAAAATAATTAATTAGCATAGGATTGTTTGACACCAATTTATTAAAATGTTTTGAATCATTGGGTTAGAACAACAGCCACAGAGCAGCCCATTGGATGATTGGGCCAATTTGATAGTTGCTTGGAACTAGATCACCCAAACAATGACATGGGCATATGAAACATGAGGAACTGTGCTAATTCTTCTCCAAGCATTCAATCTAAGGCTGTAAACCTCAACCTCAAACACACTTCCATTTTGTGCCAACCTCACAACCTTATAGTCATTTTCGCCATGATCAAATCCTAACCCGAGAGCAACGACATAGGTTTTATCTTGAGATTGAGAGAGGATGAGAGGGGAGGATGGGAGGGAAGAGTAACAAAAGTGAAAACAAAAACTTGAAAGTGAAAACAATTTCAAATAGATTTCAGTTTTTAGTTTTTAGTTTTTGTTTTCACTTTTGTTACTCCTCCCTTCCATCTTCCCCTCTCATATTCCCTCTAAATCTCATCTCCACTCTATTCTCACTCTTTGTTCCTCTATACTTTAGCACAAAAATTAAAAACTAAAAACTAAAATTGAAATGGTTATCAACGGGGCCTTAGGGTTTTATTTTTCTGGCTTTACTCTTTAGGGTTTTGATGGCTAAGAAAGTTTCACAGGACCTAATTCTTAAGAGAAAAAAACAAAAGAAAATCTTGTTTTTATTATTACCTTAACCTTTTATTAATCCACAAAGGGCAAGTTCTGCAAGAAAACCATTTGGTGAGGGGTTGGGGTGGGGATTCCTGTGCCTCACTGCAAGGGGTGTAGTTGCCCTAACGAGAATATGCTTGAGAGGATGATGTTTCCCCAGTTCTCGTTATCAAATAGCATAAAAGGTTAATAGGGTTTTAAAAATAAATAAATAAATAAAGTGTAATTTTTTTCATTGTAGAAGCTTTCCTAGGTGCTATATTCTACCAAAATAACGTGACAGACCTCTGCCCGACTAGCTATGATTTGTTTGAATGTATCATGAGATAGAATTCTATGATTTATAGCATTAGTTTTGTCATTATTGCTCCTCCCTAAGTTTACTTGGTAGAGATTTGAATTTCTTATTTAGTTTAAGGCACCTAAAACACACTTGATGATCCGTTGATTCGCTCAAATAGATGAATGTAGTAAAGTCAATGGCATATGCATCTTTTTGTTCATAATGTACACTTATGAACAAATAATAGATGATTATAGTGTACTTTTACCAAGGTATAGCTATTGTCTCCTTTTGATTTTTACTTTTTCAAAGTATTACTCGTATAAAGAATTGAGCATTTTACCATTGAATACTCGTATTATACATGTACGTACGTATTTTTCAATAATACTTCCGTTTTCCCTATACGTCTTAAAGACTCGGTAACATATAATACACGTATTGATATTAATGATTATTTAATATCAAAGAACAAAAAACAAAGTCCACAAAATAATTAATTACTATTATTGAGTAATTTACATAAAATATTTAAATATTCACTAAAGAAATAATAATTAAAGCATAATTACTAATTAAAGTAATTAAAAAGGCTAAGCTATTACTTAATTACATGTATTAAATTAAAGAAGTTGGGCAAAAAATAAAAGTAAAGAAACTAATTTTAATTTTTTAAATTTAAAAATTAAAAAGAAAAAGCAAGACAACATCTCCCGACGAAATTCGTTGGGGCAGGTCCACAGACCTCTCCTTATGAAATTACCTCTGCCGACGAAATTGTGTCGGGGAAAACCTAATCTGGCAAAACTTTGCCAGTATAGACTTGTGCTGACGATCTTTCATCAGGAGAGGTTTTATAAAAAAAAATAAATATAAACTTAGTATCTTTAGGTCAATAATTTTTTTTTCTTTCTAAAATTTCTTTTCTGTAATTAAATAATGTCTTAGCCTGATTTAATTACTTTCATTAGTAATTATGTTATAACTATTATTTCTTAGTGAATAATTAGTATTAAATATTTTAATTAACATTATAAATGATATTATTTAATAAATAGTATTTAGTTGTTAAAATTTGAATTTAATAAAATTCTTAAATACTAATTATTCACTAAGTCAACAATAATTAAAACATAAGTAATAATTAAAGTAATTAAAAAGAGAAATTCATATTATGGTATTTAGGAGTATAGCCGCTCGGCTGTACTGTTAAAATATTCTATTTGTTCCGGCTATACTCTTTTGAAAATAAATAGACAAATAAATGGGGCCGCCTAGGCGCTATGCGGTTTCTTTTAAATAAAATAAATAGTATAGCCGTCCACCTATACTCTTTAAATATCTAATGAGTGCCTTTTTGTTTTAACATTTTTTCTCCCTGATTTTCTTTTGTTGATTAGATTAGTCTAGAGCATTATCCATTAAGTTAGGCCATACCAAGGTATAGCTATTGTCTCATTTTGATTTTTTACTTTATAGAGTTATTACCAGTATAAATAATTGAACATTTTCCCATTTAATATTCGTATTATACACGTATGTACGTATTTTTTTAATAATACTTCCGTTTTCCCTATACGTCTTAAAGACTCGGTAACGTATATATAGTATTGATATTAGTGATTATTTAATTATAAATTTATAAATAAACCCAATCCTAGACATGTATTTATAAAAAAAATCAAAATACTATTTAAACATAGAATCAACCTCAAAATCAACAATTGTATATTTTTTGGGTGTGTTTATAAATGGGTTTTGAGTGTGTGTAATGATGAGTTTTGGGTGTGTTTATAAAGTGTTTTGGGTGTTTAGTTTTTTTATAATTTCAGCCCTCATTTTGAGTGTTTTAGTGAAACTCCCTTATTTAATATCAAAGAACAAAAACAAAGTCCACAAAATAATTAATTACTATTTACCAAGTAATTTACGAAATCCGTAAAATATTTAAATATTCACTAAAGAAATAATAATTAAAACATAATTACTAATTAAAGTAATTAAAAAAGGGCTAAGGTATTACTTAATTACATGTATTAAATTAAAGAAGTTGGGCGAAAAACAAAAGTAAAGAAACTAATTTTATATTTTAAAAATTTTAAAAATTAAAATGAAAAAAGCAAGACAACCTCTCCCGACGAAATTTCGTCGGGGCAGGTCCAATGACGGATTCCATAGATATATAGAATTATTATCATGTTCATCTAAGACGCAAACCAATCCGTTGCAAGAACAATTAACGACACAAACAAAGTTGGGCACAGGAAGCCTTAAATCCGAACACTTGGTTCCAGCACAAAAATTGACCAATTTCTTTCTTAGTGTAGATAAGTAGATGATCGCATTCTTCTTTCATGGCACTTGTTTCAAAATGGGCGCTTATGAAATCAGGGCTGCTAATTAAAGTTTTCCAAGATTGGCAAACACATCTGCACCGCATAAGAGATTTCACAGGTAATCTTGCAAGGATTTGAAACAAGATTTCTTCGGGT